CCTCATGCCTGGAAGTGTCCAAGGCCAGGCTGGACAGAGCTTGAAGCACTGTGCTCAAGTGCAAGGTGTCCCTGCCCATGGCAGGGGTGGCAGAGAGGGTCTTTAGGGTCCCTACTCAAATAAATCACGCTAGGTTTAAGCCAAATAATTTGGGTTGGCACAGGCAAGTCTTCAGATCATGTAAATAGGATTTAGAGAGGTGTCCCCCAATGCCAGACCTTCCACAGGTACCTTAGGAGCCAGGGAAGTGTGGGGTGAAGCTTTTTGGCTCTTCAGCACTCCCTATAAAACACAGATTTTCTGGAGCAGTGACCACCTGCTACGATGATGCCAATCCATTACCTAAACTCAAGAGCACAGATTAAACCACAACCTCGTCTTGGAAAAGCCAAAAAAATGCAAACCAGAGGTAGAAAGTGCAGAGAGGTGAGTCACCAAGAGCAGAGCTCTCCCAGCCCCCTGCACCACTGGCTGACCATAACCTCAGCTGCATCTTCCCAACCCTGCTCCATCCAGCCTTTTGTCATGAAGAGCCAGATGAAAACATCAAGCTTCCCCTGCCACTTCAGTGATAATTCATAACAGAACTCCAAGAGCTGATCTGCTGCAAAAAAAAAAACCAAAAAAAAAAAAAAAAAACCAACAACAACAACAAAAAAAAAACCCTCCAAAACAAAACAAAAAAAACCCAAAACAAACAACACCCAGGCACTTTTGAATTAATTCCAGTATTGTATTTTGCAGCCAGATTTCTAGGAAATGTTGTGAATAATCCAAGTAATTCAGTGGAGTGTTGTTGGGGTTTTTTGTTCTGTTTTTACAGAACACAGGAGCATGGGGAGTTTCAGTGTTGCAGCAGAACCCTCAGATATCAGGGGTGTTCCTGCTCCTTTTACTATTTTATTACAGGCCTTCTGATAATTCCAGAAATAAAAATGTGCAAGAGACCTGTGAGCCATCTCCTTGTGCTCTCCCACCGGTAGCAGCAGTTCATCTCCTGCTGGCAAACTGGGCACCTCATGGGAAAAAAACCATTGTGAAAGGACTTTTTTCACAAAAACATTTAAATTAATCTCCTACTTCAGCAAACAATTCCAAGATAGATAAAGTCAAATATTAAAAAAAAAATAAATAAATAAAAAAAAGAAGAAAAAAGAAAGAAAACTCCCCCAGAACACATACCAAGCTGAACTGCAAAGTGAAAAACAAAAACAAGCAGATAAAATATATCCAAACATCCCAAGCCAGACTGGGGCCTTGGGGCCCTTCAACACAACTGTGATTTATTGTACCAGCAAAACCAATTAATAAGTCAGGGGAGACCAAGCAGTGAGGGATTTGCTCTGGAAGACCAGAAAAAAAAATGCTGCAGGATCTGTTGAGCCAGCTTTAAAACAATGCAACAATTCAGATATCCCCATCACTGCACTGGGATTCCTTCCCTCAGATTTTGCAAGAGGAACCAGAAAACTTCTGGGTTTGTGTCTTATCAGGGAAAGTTCTTGGCTCAGTTAAAAACCTCATCACAATTTGGGCAGAATTTAATCACTTGCAGGTAATTCCAGTGCCTTTAGAACTCCACCTCCATGAGGAGGGTGCAGGATGCTCACAAGAGACAATGTGGGGCTTGATGAGTTAATTCTGAGCCCTGATTGCTGAGCTGCATTTTATCAGGACTCCAATTATCCCCAGGTTTGGACTGGGGCTACACAATCATCTCATTACTCACATTTGCCAGAAAGAAAACTCATTTGTCAAAACAACCTTACAGAAGATTTAAGTGACTTTAACATGCAGGGAGGGGGACATCAATTATCAGCAGGCCCTGCCAGGTTTGTTTGTGCAAGAGGCTTCTTCCAGAGACTCAAAAAATGAGTTAAAAAATGGATTTTTATCAGCAAGATGGCTCAGGACAACTGTTAAAACTGACAGTACACATGGGATGAAAATAGATCATGGCCATCAGATGTCATCAAATCTGCTGCACCACCCTCAATCAGAAATGTCCAACTAGGCAGGCACAAACTTATTTCTTTTTATTTTTTAATCTTAATATTGCCTGTACAGGACAAACTCCTCACCAGATTTTTTTTCCAGCTACATTGCAAGTATTTACCTCATGCAAGGCACTAAAAGCCACAAAAGTGGCTTTCAAGTTCTTCAAGAAATAAGGGAAAACTTGAACTCAAAGCTGATCTCCCTGATGAACTTTCCAGATTTTTACCTAGTTAGGCTGGGAGATGGTTGGGACCACAACAACCTCTGAATTTCCCAAACAGTCACATATTAATTCACTGAAAAATCCTTCCAGGGCTTTCCCCAGCTCCTCAGTAATTAACAGAGCTACAAATTACTAAACACTTGAAGTTTTTATGGATGTAAACATCCAGGAGGTTCTTCCAAAGCTCTGCTTTGGTGCTGCAGCCAAGATCACACTCGCTACAGTCCTTTCAACTGAAAATCAGGTTTCAACTTTTAAATTTTAACATTACTGAGAACACAAGAAGGGTAAAGAAAAGTTAGCTGGCAAAAGACAGACCCAGGCTCCAAAGAGAGCCTCAGATATGCTGAGAAACAAAAACATCCTAATTACTTAGAATACAGAAAACCATATGTATATGCAAGATCCCAGGAGGAGATAAGGAAAAAAGCTCCACTCTACACAGAACAAGAATATCAAAAGATGTTGCCCTGCTGAGAAAAGGGAGGAAAGTGTCCAAAAACACAGAATTAAAGAGGTTTCTTTTTTTCTTTGCCCTCTCCCAACACAGCATTTAGGGGATTGGGGATTTTTATTGCTTCAGAGGTGGGGCAAGAGCATCTCTTGCCTGGCAGATCCCCACAAGCGGCGCCACGAAGCAGCTTGGTGATTTCATAGCTCCCTTTCAAAACAAGCTGTTTTGAAACCCTGTGAAAAGGTAACATCTTTATCTGTGGTTTCCTCCAGCCCCGATGACGTTTTGGGGTGAAGGCTTTGAGAATGTGAGAGCACAGAACTCCTGCGGAGAGATCACCAAAGTCGCGCAGCGGGGTGGGAGCACTCGCACCAGCACGCTCTGGGATGTGCCGTCCATACTCGCCAAGGCCTCGGCTCAATCAAGCAGCACAAGGTGACTCATCACTCCACAGCAGCTGAACTCTTCCAAAAGGTCACTTTGTAATGAGGAGTAAGAGTGACAGCAGCTCTGAGAGTGAAATAACCAAGAAATCCAGTGTATTTCCAATCGCAAATAACACGACGAGGGCCGAGGAGGAACTTGTGAGCAACGTCCCCTCCTTCCCCAAACCACACAGAAAGCACAACAGGAAAGCACCACCGAGCTTCTCAAAGCCCTCAGAGGCAGCTCCAAGGTGCTGTCTCCTTAAGACAAAGGAGGAAGATGAGTAATAACACAAATACAGGGCAGAAATGCCCATCGCCATGGCACCAAGTCGATAAAAGAAGAAGCCTCTCTCAGAAGGTGCCACAACAACAGAAAAACATTGAGAGATCTGCATTTTGGGGTTTTTTTTGTTGTTTATGGGGACAGTTTGAGGAAGGCAAGACTGAGTCCTGGAAAGGGACATGTAGAGTCACCTGAGATGTCAGGACAGACAGCTGGGCTGTGGCAAAAGGGTTTGGGAAGAAGTAGGGGCCTGTCCTGCCTCCAAAACCAGCGGTGTCTCTCCCCAAGCCCTTGCATTGCTCTCAGGCAGATGCTGGGGGCTCAGTCACCCCCCCAGGTCCCAACCTGGATTACCCTCTCACATTCCCAGTCCTCAGGAAAGCACCCACTCCATCCCAAGAGCCTGCAAGCGAGGTGGGAAGGAGGGAAGGAGCAGGGCTACCCCAACCTCACACCCCACATGCCCTCAGAAAACCTCCCTGAGGTCAGGCATTATTTTCTGCCCTTCTGCAACTCAACCCAGCCTCCAGAGAACACCTCTGGCTAGAGATGAGAGGACTGGCTTCCAGTTTTGGCCTTTGACTCCCCAAAATTTGTTCTTTGTATGAGAAGGGAAGAGCCAGTGCCAAAGGAAGTGCTGTCACCAGTGGTGCTGGATCAGCTGACATCTGGCAGACATTCAACTTCCCCCTTCCAGATGTCAACCTAAGGCTTGGCCCCCTGGAACAAGAAAGATGAGCCTTGTGACAGCTACAAGCATCTAAAGGCCTAAAGAACCAGAGAATTTTAGTATTTTTTTCTCACCATTTGGAAGTCCTGAATATTTCTAGCATTTCCAAGGGCAGAAAGCCCCAAGCCCTCAGGGACTACTTCATGAAGAGGCTGGAACTCTCCAGAGGATCTCTCTCTAATACCCTAAATACATGCTGTTTTGGGGGAAAACACAGGGCAGGGGGTTGGAACAAAATTATCTTTAAGGTTGTTTCCAACCAAAATTATTCCATTATTCTATTTCTCCCAAATCAGCAGAGAAGATGGGATTTCATTGCACTTCAGTTTTTCCTTTATCAGTACAAGATCTCCAAGATCTCAGTCATCTTTGAGGCAGATGATCCAAGTTGAGGCAGATGATCCAAGTTTTCAAATGCCACCATTTCATCTTGCTTCAAAGAAAAAAACAAATCTTTGCAGTAAAAGATGTGTCTGCCAGAGCCATCCAACTTTTGCTTGATGCTCCTTGGCAGGATGTCTCCAAAGGGATCCAACACCCACGCATGATCCCCACTCCAGAAAAAGACAAGCAGATACACCTGCCAGGTTCTATGACAGGAAAACATCACAAAAGAACTTGAAAAACAAGGAGCCACCCAGAACAGTCACTGATGACAATGTGGAGTTGATTATTTACTGCCTGACTATCTCAAACATCTACAGGATTTAAAAACACGGAGCCTGCTCCCAGTACTGGATTACACAACCATGGCACCAGACTGTTTTCACATCACACTTCAGCTAAATGGATTCTCTATCACCCATGTCAGGTTTGCAGATACCCCTGCAGTGCAGCTCTCCCTCCAAGAAGGTGTGTGTGCAAAAAAGTCAAATAATACTTGCCACTCTCTTCAAAGAAGTATCCATTTCTTGACATCGCTGCTGGTGGAGACTCTGGAGAAGACAGAAAAAAAAAAATGAAACATGAGAATCATCAAGATGCTGAATGTCTTCACTTTACAGCACAAAGCCAGTCCCAAAATACTGCAGGCATCAGATTTTCCTGAATGTGGTAAATGTAACTTTTTGCTTATAGATGTTATAGCATTTACCAGAACTTTCCTTTGTAGCCACAGGCATGTGAGCTTCTTACTTGAAAAAAAGTCTGAGACATCCTGGGCTGGGACCATAAAAGAGCACAGCTGAAGATCAGGACGAGTCTGATCACCTCAGGGATTTACCAAACCTGAATAAGTATGTCAGCAAAAATACAAACTAAACATCCGAAAGGTTTTTATAAAAATACAAGCCACAATGAAGCCCAGGTTGTACCTTGTGCTCAGATAAAAAGAACCAGTTTAATTTAGAAAAAACCACCTCCATTTTGATGAAAATGGGAATTCACTTCCCATCCTGCTGCTCCTAATCATTAGGATATCCCCCAAACAGTGCTTGGCACTTGAAGATAAGCCCAGAACCCTCCAGCCTTCCTTGACCCACTTCCTGAGCTGGGGTCCTGCATCAACACCATCTGCACCAAGAGGGTCTAGTGAGGAAGCCACAAATGGGAAATGATGCTGAGCAAGAGCAAATCCACCAACACAGCAGCAGCAGGGGTGGATCCCCAGCGTTTATCAGGGAACAGGAGTTTGCTACTGAGCCAGTTCTGCAATTCACTGCTGGCAAAGCAGCTACTGAACATCTCTTGGTGGATAACAGAGCACAGGAGCACCTGCTCTCAGGTGTGACCAAAGCCTGGTGCCCAAACCCAGCTTGGCTGTTCTGAAGGCTGACAAAAAGTGACAGCTCAGTCTGCGTGGGCACAGGCAGCAGCTCCCCTGGACAGGTGCATGGCTCATTTTACATCAATAACAGAGCTCTTGATTTCAAGCCCTGAGCAAGAATCACCCAAGCAGCCCCTTGGAAACCTGGGACTCGATGCTGCCTCTTCACACACTTCTTCCCAGCCAAAATGCAATCAGAAAGAGGAATAGGTTTGCTCTGTCTCTCCCCAGCTCATTAGGCTAATGAAACATTACCTACGCAAGCCTGGGATGAATTTGGGCCAACCAGGAAAGAGGTTTCGCCTGCCTTATTGTTCTGCAGATTAGGCTTCCTGCTTTTCCTTTGAGGTATGACACTGTTTCCCAAAGACCCTTTCTCTGCCCCATAACTTCTGGCTCCCAGGTTGCAGGCTCTTCATTCCCTTGTACAGTGTGCCACGTTTTCAGGGCTCACAATTCCAGCTGGTCCCCTGGGAGCCCTTGTGCACATGACGGATGCAAAGCCACTTGCCACTGATGGCAGCACCTCCCAGCCCTGTCACTTGTCACCACTCAGACCTTCCAGTGCTGACAGGTTCCTGAAGGGATACCCTGATGGCCATGGGAAAAAAAAAAAAAAAAAGAGCCAGCACATAAACCAGAGGGCAATTCCAGTGTCTGGTCCAAGGGAGAAACACAATGTTCCAAAGTTCATCCCAGAACAATGGGCTGGAGGAACAAACGGCACCGAACTGTGGCCAAGGGGCACCCATTACACGAGTCAATTGTTTCCCTCCACCTGGAAGGGAAGGAGAAGATCCATCCAGACTGATTAGCATGTTAATGATCAAAGGAAAGTTTTTGAAGAGGCTCTTATTGTGCAATGATTGCATTTACGTATTTCAGGGAAACAAACAAAATACGCCTCGGCTGGCGGATTACCCAAGGAACCCACATTCCCAGCAGGATGGTTTATCCATTTCTCACTCCTGTTATGGCTTCTGAGGGAGCCTGAAGCAACGTGTTCATCCTTCACTGGGCAAAATGAGACCCTCTGCTTTTCCTTCAACTGAACACAGCTATTTCTGCGGGTTTGATGCTGTCTAATGATTGGGAATCAGTTGGTTTCTTCCTCAGAAATTCCTTCCACGTGCAGCATCACCTGGGTTGGCATCACACCTTTACACGACGCTGGTTTGGTCCCTGCTTGGACCAGGCATGAAAAGGGCAAGGCTGGGGTGTTACAGCAGGCAGTGCCATTTCATTAGGTGCCACTGGTTCCTCTGAGTCACTAATGAGCCACAGTCCCCCGGCAACATGCTCGGGTAATTATGGTGGAGGTGCTGTTTTTTTCAGATGAGTCATAAAACAGAGGTCTTAACCTTGTAATTAAAGATGCAATGGCACGTTTGGGGAAAAAAAAAAAAAAAAAAAAAAAAAATCAGGCGTTCACCCTACTATGTCCTGGCAAAAACCCAGCCCTGGTAATTTGTCTTCTCCCAGCATAATGCTGTCCCACAGCACCAACCCAATTCAGGTTTCCAAACAGCCTTGTTGGCGCCTTTGGAAAAGCTCTTACATCCCCCACGGAAGGGGCACATTAACATCAGGAACCTGTGCCTGGCGTGCCCAGGAGGTAAAAGGTGATGGGTGTTTATACAAGCCCAGACACAGGCAGGGAGCCATGGGAGCAGCTGAAAGGTCAAGGATTAGCACAAGTGGAGGTGGGAAGGGTAAATTGGGGGCTACAGCACCTGCACCTCTGATGCACTACAGAATTCAATATTCACCTGACTTTTTCATACAATAATTTGGGTTGGAAGGGATTTCTAAAGGTCTACTCCACCTTCCCTGCCATGGGAAGGGATATCTGTAACTAGATCAGGTTGTTCAGCATGCCTGATCTTGAACATTTCCTGGGATGGGGCATCCACCAAATCTCTGGGCAACCTGCAAAAATTTTATTCCTTATCTCTAATCTAACCTCTTTTTGTTTAAAACCATCACCCCTTGTCTTATCCCAAGAAGCTTTTCTAAAAAGTCTATCCCCACTTTTTCTAAAGGCCCCCTTTAAGCACTAAAATGTCACAATAAGTTTACCCTAGAACCTTCTGTCCCAGCTTTGGCTAAATCAGGAGGAAACATCTTGAAACCAAAGTGTCCTCTAATAGAGGACACCTCTTCTCCAGCTTGAGCATCCCCAAGTTTTGAACTGAGCAGAACAAACCAGACAGATCTCGGGGACAGCCCAATTAATCTCCTTCCTCCTTACGCCCCAGTCCCTTTCTCCCTGTATTCCCCAAACAGCAGCAAGCATTTCTTATGCTGAGGGATGCTACCTAAGGACAAGGCCAGCTGGCTGGTGCTGAAGTGCAGGCTGAGGAGCAGCCAGAAACACAAACTCATCAGCAGCTCCACCTGCTCCCCTCTCCAGGCGCTTACGGGATTTCACATCCAAGGTCTCAGCTCCTCGGCTGGGTTTTGCTGTGCTGGGTTCAGGCTGAGCACAGCTGAGAGCAAGGCTGAGCCTGCTCTGCTCCAGCAGCCACACACACCAATCTTGCATTTCCTCTCCCCACCTCACCTCCACTCCTGAAATTAAAAAGAGTTCAAGCAAGGGCCAGTTATGAAACATCGCAGTGATCAATGCAATTGCTGGGCTTAGGGAAGCCTGGGCAGGAGAACAACTCTCCAAATTCATTAGGTATCAACATGATAATGCTCCAGTGTTTGCCTCAAGTTGCAGAAGTGTTTCCACGAAGGATATATCTTCCTCCAGCCTGCAAAGTGCAGGGGCTCAGGGGTTTCCCCTCTGCACACCCTCAGATCCTCCAATCCCACGCTGCCAGTTCTTTCACTCAGGGTTTTCTTTCAAAGGCTCCAACAATTAAAGAAAAAAAAAAACAAGCAAAGAATCTTCAGCAAGAAAAATGCTTCTAGAGACAAAGCTGGAAAGCACTACTCCAAGGAGCAAAGATGGAGCACAACTCATTCCTGTGCCTCTGGTACCTCTCAGAGAGGTCCTGCCTCTCTTCAGACTCTTTCTCACCCATCACCTCCAAGGACAACCAGACTCTCCAACTGCTCTCCCTATCCAAAGGCAGAGCAAGGTGTCACCTTCCACTATCTGCCCAAAAGTACAAGGTGCAGCTCTCTTTTGATAATTTAAGCTGTGCTCTTCTTTTCTAAACATTAATTTACTCCAGAAAATAACCTCCTACTGCCATCCCAACCTTATTCCCTGCAGGGATGCCTGTTAGATGAGACTAAATTGGAGAGGCACATGGTGTTACCACTTCTTTCCTTTCTCAAAATGAAAATTTCTGAGCTTTCCAAGCGCTGAATTCAGAGGTGAAGAGCTGAAGTGCCGCAAAAGAGAAAACAAAGCTGCTTTATCTAGACTCAAGGATACAGCTGAAGATTTCATGGCTAAGCCATTACCCTTTGAGCTGAGGCAACAGCAGCGACCCCAAGAGCCACCAAGGCAGAGGAATATCAGAGAATCACAGAATGATTTGAGCTGGGAGCTAAAAGACCATCCAACACTCTGCCATGGGCAGGGGCACCTTCCACCAGACCTGGATATGACATTTCTTTTTTAACTGGTAGCAGAGTCAGGGCTGCTGTTGTTGTTTAAGGTGCTTAGCTTTAGGACGGGGATGGAACAGCTGATGTGCCATGGGAAGCACCAGACAAGAAGTGGGTATATTTCCTGATTTCTTACATTCTTATCATTTTTACATTTAACAACAAACCCCTGCCATGCCATCCTCCATTATTAAATTCCTGTGCACACTGCGTCTCCAACTAATAATCCATTTTGACTCTCTTGTTTTAAAGTTAGCAGTAAGTTCCCTTGAGCCTTGCAATACTGGAGGATTATGAATAAAAACACATTCTCGGGATACTTGGGTAACTCAATTACACTGTTCTGGTGCTGGCATCTTCCAAATAAACAGCCCTCTGCAGCACAAGCCTTATATTGAAGTGAAACACAGCTCTGCAAAAGCTTTCTACAAGTACTGCCACAGCCTTTAGCATTTATGGCTTTTTATTTTTTTTTTTTTTGCTTAAATCTCTAAAAATTCTAGGGCCTTGATAGTTAATTGGAGTTTATTTTGAGACAACACCAATCTGAAAGAGGTACTGGGGAAGAACTTTTTTATTTACAGGCCCCTTAATATTGGCAAC